ACGCAATGCTGACTTTATATCGGACAATTCTGAGAAATAAAGTCAGAATTGCGAGATGTAAACAAAAAGAGGCAGAATTGCTAGTTTATTTCTCGCAATTGTGCGTTTATCTCACAATTCTGACTTTATTGTGAGATAAAAATCCAGAATTGCGATATATAAAGTTACAATTAGCTTTATTTGTTGTGTAATTCTGTGTGGGAAGCGAGCTTGAGTAGACCAGCGTGAAGATCTCCGAGAAGCTGATCTCCTGAGTTGTGTCCGCAGGGAAGTTTAACTGGAAAGGGACGATCAAGGCGGTTCTGCGCGACGCTCCTGAGGACGGCCTCGCCGTGAAGAAGCTCCGCAAGAAGGTGAGCGGCGCATCGGCCAATCAGCAGCCGCGCAGACACGTGACCGCGCGCGTCTCCGGCAGGCTGGGGTTAAGCGCTCCTGGCCATCACTAGTAGTTTGACACATTTGGGGCTTTCGCACGGGCAGGTCCAGGAACTGGTCAGCAGGGCTCGTTCCCCGAGAGCTGATGGTTCCTCAGGAACGTTCTCCTCGTTGCGTTCGCAGCGCTAGAACTCTGAAGCGCCGTGAGACTCGCTCGTTGTTGAGACTTTTATTTTGGCGTCGCTGAGCTCACAGCGCTCGCATTCTCCTGTTCATTAGTGTGATCCGTCTAGCAGCGCTGTCGAACACGTCATTAGCTAGAACTGTTATACATGAGCGTAGTAGGGGTGGGCGATATGAGCAAACATTCATATCACGATATTTTTCACTGTCCGGACGATATCGATATTATATTGCGATATGAGACAAAAATTGGAATCACATTTTAGTACACCTTAGTTAAATTACATTTTAACCCTATAACTAGAAAAGGTGAGGGATTTAATTGGACATAGACCTGAAAAATATTTTTTTATTGTCCCATTGTTTTTCTCAAAATGTGCAAACGTGCAACATGAGGTAGGCCTGAATTTACTAGTTATCTCTTTCCACTTTTTATTTTGCGGGGGGTTAAAATAATTCCTTCGTTACTAATTCGTAAGATGAGTAACACTGGAGTTTGGTTTATTGAATACGTTATAATCAATAAATATGAAATAGTGTGATTTCAGAGAGGTTAGACACTTAGGCCTAATTGAAGACAACATTGTTAACCGAGAAGTTTTTGTATAGAGAAGTAAGCTACTGTAGGCTACATCCTGCTAATTCATTGTTGTTTTTATTTATATTGTTGTCCATTTATCGAACTTCCGTACCTCTTATATAGTACTATTATATATTACTATGTATCAATTGACTAATGTTCGGACACACACTGTCTCTCTCGCTGTCGCTCACGGAGTTCGCTTCGCTTTTGTCCAGTCCGGCGCCTCCTAGACAGGCGGTGTGTGTGTGTGTGTGTGCGCGTGTGTGTGTGCGAGAGACGCGTGAGTGACAGAGACCGAATACACTGCGTGTTTTAAATAGCGTAAAAAAATAAATGAATAACGAAAAGCATTGTGGCGGCCGGTGTTGATTCTGTGGCGCACCGCCACGAATTAGTGTGTGTGGGAAACACTGGACCATGCTCTCTGTGTTTGATTATTAATGCCTGTGCATCACGCGAGTTGGACACAATAGAGGAAAAGGTTAAACGTTCAGTTCAGCCTCGATTTTGTCATTAGTGGTGTTAAAAGTTGTAAAGCGTACCAAATTGAACAAAACAATATAACTGCAAAATTTGAATTTATGAATATCTAACGGTATTCTCGGTATCGCAAAATCCATATTATGGTACAACATAATACCGGTAGTCACGTTCGTACCGGCGTAGCGCCCACCCCTAGAAAGTAGACCGTAATGAAGTTATGAGCGTACGGTGTGTGTTGCTGAGCAGAAACACATCATCATGTTCCTCTCGTCTCAAAGCTGCGCTGGGTTTTCTCCTCAGTGTAAAGGTTTAGAGTTCCATCTATCCCTGTTTTACATGTTCGTAGAGTGAGTTTCTGGAGTAAACGTATAGGCTGTAATCTGTGTTTACACAGGCTCGTGCGTTCGGCCAATCAGAGAACACCACCGTCACTGTAGTTCCTCTAGCGCTGGTCTAGCCGACTCTGGAGGAGTGAAGGAGTTCCTGCGGTGCGACCGCCCGACTCCGGGAGCGACGCAGAGGATCCTCTGTGCGAAAGCCCACGTTAGTTTCATGTTCGCTTAGACAGACGTTTGACATCGACTCATCCATCGACTTTTTCCAGGTTTTAGCAGCTTATTATTCGTTTACTGGAGACGGAAACTACAGATCGGAAGAGGAGCTTCTGTCTCTGTTCAACAAGAAGATCAACAACAACCCCAAGTTTAAAACCCTGAGAGAGAAGGTCCGGCTGGTGAAGTGACGGGGCTTCATCATCTCCTGCTGTGTCCTGAATGATGTGTGCTAAATGTGATTAATGCCTTACAACAGTGATATCAAGAACAGTTTCTGTATATGGCTTATTAATAAAACATACTATGTACAAGCAGGCAGAAAAATGCGTAGTTTTACGTTGTTTACAGCCGTAATAAAGCGTTGAATGTAATTTAGCACATATACTGGGCTCCTCTGCTTGTATATAGTGAACTAGGTGTATACTGAGTTTGGTGTTTTAATAAAACTCTTAATTCATCAAGCCACGAGTTTTATAATGGTTTCGGTGGGGGGTGGGTGCTGTGTAGAGCGCTGCGTTCATATTCTGGGCTGTATATATAATGCATCTTCATCCATAATGTGTAGTGAGTTTGTTCTTTTTACATCAGTGTTTTGTAGGTTAGGGTCCCCCAGTTGACAATTTTATCCCTTACAGATTACATATTTAAAAAGAAAAATTCCTTGAAAAAACATTCTTCATACCTTTAAAATATCTTGAATGTAACTCGACACCCTCACCTCATTTAGTATGCGCGGTTCTATGAATATGCAGATGAGCCCCGCCTCCACTCACTCCCTCAGCTCAGAGATCCACTGGTTGACGATCACACGTTGATCTGATTGGTTACAAGGTCGTTTGTGACGTCAGAAACACCAGCGATTTCAAACCGTGTTTTTGAGACTGTCTTTGGTTCACTGCAGTTTTAAGTTAGTGTGTGTGTGATGGGTAGCTTTAGGGGTTGGGTTAGTGTGTGTGTGATGGGTAGGTTTAGGGGTCGGGTTAGTGTGTGTGTGTGTGTGTGTGATGGGTTGGGTTAGTGTGTGTGTGTGTGATGGGTAGGTTTAGTGTGTGTGTGATGGGTAGGTTTAGGGGTTGGGTTAGTGTGTGTGTGTGTGATGGGTTGGGTTAGTGTGTGTGTGTGTGATGGGTAGGTTTAGTGTGTGTGTGATGGGTAGGGTTAGGGGTCGGGTTAGTGTGTGTGTGTGTGTGTGATGGGTAGGTTTAGTGTGTGTGTGATGGGTAGGGTTAGGGGTCGGGTTAGTGTGTGTGTGTGTGTGTGTGTGATGGGTAGGTTTAGGGGTTGGGTTAGTGTGTGTGTGTGTGATGGGTTGGGTTAGTGTGTGTGTGTGTGTGATGGGTAGGTTTAGGGGTCGGGTTAGTGTGTGTGATGGGTTGGGTTAGTGTGTGTGTGTGTGTGATGGGTAGGGTTAGGGGTCAGGTTAGTGTGTGTGTGTGTGTGTGATGGGTCGGGTTAGTGTGTGTGTGTGTGTGATGGGTAGGTTTAGGGGTTGGGTTAGTGTATGTGTGTGTGATGGGTAGGTTTAGGGGTTGGGTTAGTGTGTGTGTGATGGGTAGGGTTAGGGGTCGGGTTAGAATGGGTTAGGGTTAGAATGTCCCATCCTCTCTCACACTATCCGTACTAGAGAAGGCGTAGAGTAGGCCATAGGCGCTGCCGGAGTTCAGCTCTCAGCGCACCGACACACACGTGTGTTACCCCGTTACCGAGTCCTGTGCCGGAGAGATCTGTGGAAGGCTCGGGTGTAAGGGTTGAATCGGACTCTTGTGTGGGACATTCCTCCTCTCCCTGGGCAGGGTCAGTTGGCCCGCGCACACAGAGCCTCCATACAGGAGCGAGCGCTGCGCGGCCCCGCGGGTCAGGGCTCCAGAATGGGCTGCCTGTTACACACACACACACACACACACACACGGCGAAGCGCTCCGGAGGCTGATAATCCCTGTGTGCGGCACTGATCCCGCGCTTAGCTGTAATGATATCGGCGGGACGGGGCTTTAGCGCAGCCTAGCTCGCGTTAGCTGGACTTAAACTGCTCGTTTATACCTGTAATATTGTCATATAGGCAGCGGTGTAGAAAGAACTGAGAAATTTAAGCTAAAGTACAGATACTGTGTCAATTTAAAAGCTGCCTACCCCAAAAAAGTACTGGAGTGAAAGTTAAAAAGTATCCACATTTAATTCTGACTTTTGAAAACAAGAGGCAGTAGAGTTTCTCATTTTTGTGTTTTTGATGAGAAAACTTTATAAAGAAACCTTATCTCTTTGTTCTGACTCTATGACAGAAGTTAAAGTAAACCAATGTTCTGAAACATGTTACATGAATATTTTCAGTTAAAATTAGGTGCAGATGATTTTACATATGAATATTTTATACTATATTTCAAGACTAATCATGAGCTGTTTACACTCGACTGCATTCATCCAGCCATTGATCGTTAGGCTGTTTTAATAACGCACTGTAATCTGTGTCTGAAAGGGTTACTTCACCCAAAAATCATTTACTCACCCTCGTAAAACTTTATTTTACAGTGTCCTTGTTACATATGTTACATGTACTTACCGTAGTAATAACAATAAATTATCCATAATTACATGCAACTAACGCTCAATCCTACACTAAGCCTATAGTAAGTACATGCAGTTACTTAATATTACTCAGTACTTAAAATATATAATTACACTAACAATTACACCTTAAAATAAAGTGTAACCCTTTATTTGAATCTGTCCTCGTTACATTTAAGTAATATTTATTAACAACATGTACTTACTATAGGGTTATGGTTGAGATTAGGGTGTTTAAGGTTAGTTGCATGTAATTATGTGTAATTTACTGTTATTATACATGTAACGCGTAACAAGGACAGTGTAAAATAAAGTGTTACCAAATATATTTAGTTTTAAGTAAATGAGAACAATTCAAGACATTGAGACCTTTTTCCACTGATTAGATCAAGATAGCACAGGTACGTCTGCTAAAGATCTGTCATTCTGGAAAGCTTGCCGTGTAGAAACATCTTAGAATAAGGCAGTTTTACATTCTAAATCATAAACATCTTAAAGACATCTTCTAAATATCTATACGACATCTAACAGGAAACGTCCTAGAGACGTATTGAGATGAGCAAAAATACTTCTTCCAGATCTAAATGAAGACATCAAAATGTTTGTGTGCTATCAGGGGAGTGATTAATTTATGAATCTGTCATTGCTAGTTTTGATCCTATAGATACTACACAAACGTCTGCAAGATGTCTGTTAAAGAGCGCTTCATCTGGAAAGCATCGGATGTGTACAAACATCTGAGAAACGTCTTTAAGTTGTCGTTTTACATTCATTAAATCATAAACATCTTAAATACATTTTCTAAATGTCTATTTAACGTCTGACAGGAAACGTCCTGGAGACGTATTTCAGATGAGCAAACACTCAAAGAAACACATCTTCCAGATGTAAACGCGCTCATCAAATAGACGTCTCTGATGTACGTGTGCTATTGGAATAGTCAGGCAACTTTATAGTCATTTTTAACTCACGGTAAAAACGCTGTTCCTTCAGGAAACAACAGTGACACGAGTAGCAGACAATAACTACAGACAATATTATCAGGTACACAGTAAAACCATTATTGACAGATGAGTGTGGCTGCAGTGGAATATTATTGATTCATATTGCTGAAATATTACTGTCATGGAAAACTACTCTCCCGTCAGTATACAATAATCAAAATAGATAATCTATTTGAGTGTTTATAACACTTCTGTGGAACACAAAAGGAGATATTTTGAGAAATGTATGTTTTGTCTCATCCATACAATGAAAGTCAATGGGGTCCAATATTCTTCAAAACATCATCTTTTATGTTCCACACAAGAAAGAGAGTCCAACAGGTTTGGAACGATGTAAACAATGACAGAATGATCATCTTTGGGTGGATCATCACAGATTAATTCTCACGTGTGCTGAATTTGAGCGTTTCTAACACATAATGGTGACTTTTGGTTTGTTTCATGAGATGCTTTGGCTTTCGTTGGCAGCATGCGTCATCACTGACATGCTGAAACATGATTGTGGGAAATGTTGAGACATGCTCCACTCGGCTCCGTCGCTGGAGTCAGCAAAAACCAGAGCCGTGTGCAGTATGTAAGGTATACGTCTCTGATAAAGCTTCCTCACAGAACGCTATTGTTCTCCTCATCGCTGCCCCAAAGGCCTCTGGGAAACAGGAGCAGAAAACCTGGTTCACTGCAGCTGAGGGAAATGGAAGTATATGGTTTTATTGTCTGTTTGGGTGAGAATCAAATGCGCTCAGCGTTTTCTCAGAATATCTGGCCATTACACACACACACACACACACTAAAGGAAGTTTGATGTTCAGATGTGCTGAATGACCGGCATTATGAAGCGTAAAGGTCTTTTGTCCGGTCGGCTCAGAACATGATACTCTCATAAAGCACAATCCAGGTTCTGTTTTGAGTTCTGGTTTGTGGTGAAGATAAGAGCAGGCCACAGGTAAGCCAATCGCTTCACATCTTGATAACTGTTTAGTGTCTGGCTGATTAGTTTGATGTGATTTTTGAATATTGGAAGGCCTCACTGCATTCGTATGTAAATCAGACACACTGGTCAATCAATGTGGGTTTATCAAATATCCATTTGGTTGCATTAAGTGTTTGGGATATCTGGATAGGTTTAAGGTTTTCCAGAGGGAGATATGGAGAGACTAATGTCTCCACACTCCCAAAGACCAGATGGAGATTTGATTCACCTCTGTGGACTCACAGTAGAATCTGCCTCGGTCATCATCTCACAATTGTTTCTCTTAGACTTTATTGAGGTTGAATGTTCTGGACGTCTATCATTGGTCTGAGGAGAAGCAGGAGACGGAGATCTGAAATCATCATTACTCTTCGAGTTATTTCTGCTATTGTTGCATTGCCTTCTGAGAGGAGATTTGATCATTTAACTCCTGATTGGTAACGTTTACGGAACGTCAGCACAGGTGAATTGGGTAACAAATTAACTAATGGATATCACTATATTCTTCCAATTGATTAATTCCATTAGGAAATGCAAAAATAAATTGTATTACAAGTTTTCTGGAATGTTATGTTTAAATATGCAAACAAAGCATTATCTAATGAAATATGCAATAATTTGCATACATTTACAGTACATTCATCTGAAAATTGGATAAAGCCAGGTTCA